AGGATAGCAATGATACTACTAGACAAAACAGGTGAAAAATGCACAGCCCATTTTTTAAGAACTGATTTGTGATGTTAAAAATCATGCAATTGACTATTTTGGTGTGATTCTTGTAATAGTACATAAAATAAAACATAATAACAAACCAGAGAGTAATTGATTAGAAATAAACAGACCTGTTAGATATGAAAGTGGTAAGTGTATAAGCAAAAATAGAATTAGAAATTATGTAATAAATGCATGTTGAAGCCTAAAAGAATACATTGCTTTATACATTTCAAAGAAATAAATCACATAACAGAAATGGAACACTGTAGACACTGTATGTCAGGAGACATAAGCAGACTGTAGAGTCACGCAGACAGTTCTAAGCTATTTTTCTCTCCTGTTTCATATTACATATTTTAGACTTCTGTGTATATTTGCATTTTTATTATACTTTTAATATGCTTGACAAATGTTTATCTACTTAAATTATTTGGTTTTTCCAAGTGTAGCCATCTCTTCCTCCTAATGAACAGATAGAGGGCTATGTATTAAGCAGTGCTGGGAATCTTAATTTCAGGTTACATCCTTATATACGATTCTCTGAAATTTGTCTGCTGTCGTTTGTTTTCTTCAATCCAGTCAATAGCACAGAAACACTGTCAGCCAAATCATGGCCTCTGTTGCAGGTTAGATCCACAGTCTGTGATCTGCCATTTCCTCGACACTGTTGAAAGAAAACTCAATTTCTTAATATCAAAAGGGATTTCTCACTTCCCCAAGGAGAATTTTCTCAATTATGTCTTTCCCCAGGCAAGCTTAATCAGCACTGCCATCCTTGTCGAGCTGTGCTGTGATAACAGGAATGATGCAAGAACTAGATACAATGAGCACACAAGAAAGGGACCAGTATGCAATGCACTCTATTAAATCCTTATTTATTTACTACTCAGAGCCATGAGTACTTGAGTAGAACTCATTTGGGGAGTCGTGCAACAAATGATTTCCATGGTTCTCACTGAGGCTAACATGTTTCAGGAAACCCCAGGTACACATTTTTTCAGTGAGAAGACTGTAAGAAAAAATTTTCCTGTCAGAAAGAGCCCTTCCTCATCCTCCCTGGGCCAGAAAAAGAGTTGCTGATATTCTTCTCCTAAGGGAACCTTCCTTGTGCATTTTTCCATCCCTCTGCCCCTCTCCTGCTATACCCCTGCTTTCTCACGACCTCTATCTCATGTTCTATCTTTACAGTGGACGGCACCCTGTCAACACGAGCCTAATTTGGCTGGCCTGGATGATCCTGGTACGCTTCCAAACCCCCTGGAAGTTCACAGCTGCTGGTCTTCAGTCAGGAACAGCTATTTTTCATTTAATATTATTTATTTCACAAGAATTAGAGAATAAGTTAACCGACCACTATTTTCCTCCTCCTACATCAAAACTGGGAGAAGGAACCGGGCATGGGCAATAGGTTCCCAAAAGAGAGCTAAAGCACCAGGGACAGGTACTGATCCCACTGCTAGGAGCACCACTAACACATCAAGTTACACAGCGGTCACACACATGCAGAGGTCGTAGGTTGGTCCTTATTCAGGCTCCCTAGCTGTTGGTACAGAACCCTTGAGCTCACGCAAGCCCAGGTCAGCTGTCTCTGTGGGTTCCAGTCTCATGACCTTGACTCCCCCTTGCTTGCACAATCCTTTCTTACTCTCCTCCACGAAACTCCTGGAAGCTCACCTGAGTGCTTGGCTGTGGATCTCTGCATCAGTTAGAAAAACATTCCTAAAAATTCTTTGGTTTACTGGTAGCTGGTATATATATTTACTCTAGTAGGCAATGTTTCAGCTTCCATAACTGGAGTCTTAGTATTAACACAACATATTCAAATAGATCAATTTGCAAATTTATTTTAAATAATAAATTAACAGTGAAATTAAAAGAGTTAAAATATTTCTAAAATAGAATGATATCAAGAAAAGATTGTTGTTGATTTCATAGTGATTGAATGAAAGAAAACAATATAAAAGCATGTAAACAGTGTAAAATTTCCACCACTTTCAGTCTCTTCAAATACAAGAAAATATGAAGAAAATTGTTTGCAAGCTCCGTCTTGTATAGAAAGCTGTCATGCTTTGAATAATAAGCAAATCCATAATATAGAATAAAATACTTACCAGAATTTGTTTAAAAAGTTTAATATAAATACTATTCATTAAACTATACACAATGAGTTCCAAGCTAGCTGGAAATTTCTAATAATGTCCTGGCTCTAAGAACAAAACAAAATTACATTCAAATATATGTGTATGCATATGGGGTGTCTGTGTTATTCTGGGTTATTTAGATATGTCTTATTATCATACTCACTATGTAGGCTATGCAGGCTTGAATTCACGGAGATTGGCTTGACTCTGCTACTATGCTCAGATATATACATTTCTGAGAAGGATTTAAAGGGCCTACCACCTAAAAGAACTTTAAGAAATATTGTCCTGAACCTCCTGTGTTATTTGTTATTCAATTTTGTTGTTTTTTAAACATTGTGGTATAAATTATTGGTGGGCTGATGTTGTCTCTGTAGCTCATGCCTTTAAACTCACAGTTAACTTCCTGCCTCTGTGTCTGGAGTTCTGTATTTAAAAAATGCACCACCACAGCTTTAAATATAAGTGTTATGGTGCAACTTATCTTTTGTTATTTTTTTGTTGTTGTTGCTGCTTTATTTTTCAAATTTAATTTCAGTCATTATTTCATGTGCATGCTTTTGTTTTTTCTGTTTGCATGTCTTTGTACCACACTCATGCCTGGTAAGCATGGAGGCCAAGAGATGGTGTCAGAACATCTGGAACTGGAGTTACAGAGTGTAGTGAGCTTCTTTACATACTGGAAAGGAAAGCTGGGTGTTCTGGAAGATTTTTCATTACTTTTAACTGGTAAAGTATTTTCCAATACAAATTTTCTGTTCTTGGTTGTGTTTCCTGTACAAAGCAGCCTAGTTTGGGTCAGACACCATATTAAAAAGTGGAATTCTCCTTCAGGTGAGAGAATTAGCCTCAGGCTGGGATGGGGTCCCTAAGTACAACATGGTCAGCCCTTATACCATAAGCACATAAGCATCCAAATAACAAAAATGGACTCAACAGGGTGAATTTATATATTTCAATAAACTTTTTTTATACACAGTTGGCTTGGAAGAAGTTTGAATGGAAGCATGTGGAAAAGAATAGAGGACAGACCAAAAAAAAAAAAAGGAAATTGGTGTAATATGTTTTAATTAAAATGTATAGAAAATTAATAAAAGAAGAGGAGCTAGGAAGATGGTTCATCTGTTAAGAGCACTGGGTATTGTTACAGAGTATCCAGGTTCCATTCCCAGAACCACCATGATAGATAATCATTTGTTGTAACTTCAATCCCAGGCATCTGAGGCATCTTGGCCTCAGTCAGTACTGTGTAGACAAAACACCCACGTAACAATCAGAAAAAAAAAAAAATGAAAAAGAAAGACAAACAGCAGCCATGGGCAGTTAAAATGCGCTCCTTCTGGTGTTGCATGGAAGAAGATGCAGCCTCCCTCCTAGTTCAGTGAGAGACAATAGCAGCTTTTCTCTTATGTTAATGGAGCTCCTGATGACCCTTCATCTAAGAGCAGAGCACACAGTGCAGGGTCTTTTTCCCTTGTTGCTCTCTGTGGTTATGGTCTGTCTTTTTGTCTGTGAGAATCGTGCCATTGGTACAGCTATCATTTAGATCAAATATCAAGGTTAATATGTAGTATAGGCTACAACGCAGTATTCTTTCACAGTGTCACTTACTTGATTTTAAGTAAAGACCTTGTGGTAAAAAAAATGAACCTGCCAGAGGTTCAGAAAACCAGCTGAGACATCCAGCCTCATGGCTTGAACAACTACTGATTCTTCAAAGCTCCATTGGTAGACAGAAATTGTTGGGCTAGGTGGACTACAACTTGTGAATCTTTCTAATCGATTCACATATATGAAGAGATTGATTCTTATCAGCCCTGCTCATGTAGAGAACCATGAATAATGCAGTCATTTTTTTTTCTGTCTGAGGAAAAAATAGTGCTCATAAAGACATTCTTCCTAGGTTCAATATTCTCTAAATATTCAACTTACCGTGAAGATTACTCTGTTTATTATTACTCATTTGTCATGAGCTTGCCTTGAGTTCTAGAAGAAAGCAATTTTTAATTCACCATCCTGGCTTCTGGTGCAAGAGAGATTTATCATCATCATCATCATCATCATCATCATCATCTTTATTATTATTATCATTATTTTATATGCTTCCTGTATTTCTGTCCTGGTTCTCTTAAGAACCACTTAAGTGCTTGTGACTAGCGAGTAAGTACATTCAGTGAAAAGTACATTCCAAAGCCCTGACTCCTCTTAGGGATGGAGAGGGGGGAGGAGGGGGGTGGGGGATGGGCACGGTGTTGGGAAGAGGGGCAGAAACGGAAACTTTCATAATTCAATAAACTTTGAAAAAAAAAGTACATTCCATTGAAAAGACACAGACCAAACATCTCCTTTTGTGTTCTTAAATCTCTCTTTAAAATTGTTATTACATAATATAATATAATATAATATAATATAATATAATATAATATAATATAATAATATAATATAAAATAAAATAAAATTGTTTCTGGGCACCCTTCCACCTGTGGGTGGGTCAGGGAATCCTACACTCCACACTGAGTAAAGGACTCTGCGAGCTAGTCACTTGATGTTCAGGAGGAAAAAATGGGATGTGCTTATAGAAGGCAGGAATACAGCACAGTCTTCAAGTCAAACCAAGGGCAAGAGCTATTAAAATTCACATCTCTACAGTTCTGAAGTAGGTCTCCCTCCTCAGTAGAAGGCGAGGGTCAGAAACCCTTGTGCTGTGTCTTTAAGCGCACTGTAACCTTAAGGGAGGTGCTCTTGTCACTCATGCCTTATTAGCCAATCAGGACCTCCAGTAAAAACTGCCAGTCAGAACCGGTGCAGAGCCCTTCCGGGAGCCCAGTTGCAGGCTTGGCTTTGCGGAAGAGCTGCCGCCGTTTCTTTTCCGCTTGCTGTGCTGCTGCAGGGAGCTGTGAAGGGGCTATGGGTGAGCTGGGAAGCCACGACATGGTGAGTGAGGAGCTGCTGTCCTCCTATGGGAAAGAGCAAATGAGGAGTTTCGAGAGCCTGTGTGGCGGGTGCTAACAGGGCCCGGGTGGGAATCTGCAGAGTCCCTGTCCTGTGAGTCCCCCAGCAATCCGAACAACTTCCTGGACCCAGGCACAGGGCTCTGCATAACTTCTCTGTGGGCTACATCTGTGCAGATATTGGGAGCAGAGACCTATGTGTAGAAACATTTGGAGTCAACAACAACATGCTTTAGGTTGTCAAACTTGAACAGATCGAGTTTCTCCAGTATCTGCTTAGACGTTCAGCACTTTGCATTAACATTTCATGTAAGATCCATTCACAGTTAATTTTGTGTAGGTTGTAAACGTCATTTCTTGCACTCCACTACTTAGCTGTGATGTAGAAGGGTAGAATTGGTTATTACAAAAGTTAATTAAGATTTAGTAGAAAGTAAGTCTCACAAAGAAGAATATAGATGAGGGAGGGCTGCTTCTGAAACACTGCGAAGATAAGTATAAGCGAGTGAGGCCTGGTAGAGATAAGGGTGTTAGGATACACATTTTTTTTTTTTTTAAACCAGGATTGTCCAGGTATTTGGCTCCAAACTGTTACAAAGGAGATACCCCTGATTTAGAAGCAGTCACTAGCCTTATCTGTATATCAAAAAACAGGCTTCTACCTGGCTGCTCAAGAAGGTCACAACCTCCTTAAGGCCTGGTCTGCCTTAAAGTTCGAGTTTTCTATTGAGAAACGCCCTAGTTCTGAGATATGGGCAATGTGACACCAGGGGACAACTATTTGAAAAGAAAATATTGTTGTATTATAAACTGACTTGGTCAAGCAAGGCTTTCATTTAGCAAGGCAGGGAGCAAGCACATTCTTGGGAGAGCTAGTAACAGCCTGGGACCTAGGCCTTCAGCGTTTGCCTCAAGACTTGATGCATTGAGAATAAAGCAGAGCTCTTTCTCTAAAACCAGGAATATAGAGCTAGTAATCATCTGGGGCCACAGCCTTTGTGGACTGGTTGCTCCAGATCCCAAGAACCCAACTCTTCTCACTATGCGGAGCTATTGCTATCAGTTTCAAAGCCATGGTAGTAATATTCTTGAGATACCCTGTATTCCCCTTGTGCAACATTATTTGATTAACCTGCTCCAGAGTTTATTCCATTGTATCATAGATTCAGCTGGCTTCATGGAATTTTCCCATTTCCCTCTACTTCCCCCCTAAAAGTAGTATAGAAGAAGCTATTCTTCTTAAGAACTTACTTGGCAGCTGGGCGGTGGTGGCACACGCCTTTAATCCCAACACTTTAATCCCATTACCTAGGGAGGCAGCAGCAGGCAGATCACGGGTTCGAGGTCAACCTGGTCTACAAGAGATAGTTCCAGGACAGGCTCCAAAGCTACAGAGAAACCCTGTCTTGAAAAACTAAGACAAAAAAAATCCAAAAAACAAAACAAAACAACAACAACAAAAAGAACTTGCTTTGTATAAGACATAGCTTGTGCAAAAACCTCCCCACTCCAGCCAGCTTTTATCTCTTCTACTTTATACTTTTCCTGTCTTTTTCATTCCCTGACACCTTTACCTCTGGACTCAGTCACTGAAAAATGTTCTGCAGTATCAGATCACTGGTATGTATACTTTAGAAACAATTCTGGGAATCTCTTTGAGTGTAAGTCTCCCATCTGCCTAAATGTATAGACATGCAGTCTCCTGTCCCTATTGAAATTGTTCACAGTGTAACCTGGAGCATGACCCTAACAGAAATGTAAGGATGACAGCATATGTTGAATGAAAAATATGTCTAGGCTGGCTCTTCTTTGAGCATTAGCCAGAGATAGATGCTTGCTCTTATTAAAGAGATTTTCCTTTATTCAATGCCTAAATATGTGAAGATTTTTTTTCTCCCTGGAAATGTGTATTAATTCTAGGACAGTTGCATTTCCAGCCTTGTAGAAAAGTGTTTCTGAGATAAGTTCTCTTCTGTTGACTCAGGTGGCCTTGATCTCTCAGACTCTTGAACTCCAGGGTAATGACCTTGTTGTTCCCTATATCCCACCTCCATAATTCTTTTTTTTTTCACCTCCACAATTCTTGAACTAAATACCCATACCACCTCAGAGTTTAAAAATTATCTATTTAAGCCCTGTAGCTGACTGTCCATTGCAGTTAGAGGAAAAGGATTTGCATGTGAGCATGGCATCTGTCTCCAGACCAGAACAGGAAGAACAGTTTATTGTGTACACTGCAGGGGAAACAGGGCAGGCAGTCAAATTCTGGAATCACCACTATGAAAAAGGACCTAATTGTGGCAAAGGGAATTAATTTATAATTTCCCAGTATGTGTTATTTCGTGCCATGTGAATGAACACAGACCACATTGGTGGTTGTACAATTTGAGAAAGTTATCTTGAGTCAATGAATATTGAATTCTCCTGTGTAGATATACTCAGTCCTGCTTGACACATTTAAGTCATCTTTGAAGTTTGAGAAACAGGCCTTTGTAACTCAGTGTGTCAGGTTACAGATCTCAGCAGCCAATGTGCCTATAGGGAAGATCAATCAGTCTCTTATTAATGTCCTTCTCTCTACTAGGGAAGGGCCTACTCTTCTACAGAGTCAACATAGCTAAGGATTTTAATCTTTTTTTAAAAAAAATTTATTTACTCATTTATTAAAAATTTCCACCTCCTCCCCGCCTCCCTTTGCCCTCCCCCTCCCCACCTACCCCTCCCTCTCTAGTCCAAAGAGCAGTCAGGTTTCCATGCCCCATGGAAAGTCCAAGGACTTTCCCCCTCCATTCAGGTCTATAAAGGTAAGCATCTAAACAAACCAGGTTCCCACAAAGACAGTTCATGCAGCAGAATCAAAACCCAGTGCCATTGTCCTTGGCTTCTCATTTAGCCTTCATTGCCAGCCACATTCAGAGTGTCCAGTTTGATCACATGCCCCATCACTCCCAGTCCAGCTGGCGTAGGTGAGCTCCCATTAGATCTGTCCCAGTGTCTCAGTGGGTGGACTCATGCCTCGTGGTCCTGACTTCCTTGTTCATGTTTTCCCTCCTTCTGATCCTCATTTGGACCTTGGGAGCTAAGTCCAGTGCTCCAATGTGGGTCTCTGTCTCTATCTCCATCCTTCGCCAGATGAAGGTTCTATAGTGATAAGCAAGATATTCATCAGTGTGGGTATGGGACAAGACCAGTTCAGGCACCCTCTCCTCTGCTGCCCAAGAAACAATCTGGGGACCTCTCCTTGGACCTGGGAACCCCTCTAGAATCAAGTCTCTTGCAAACCCTAAAATGGCTCCCTTAATTAAGATATTTACTTCCCTGCTCCCATATCCACCCTTCCTCCATCCCACCCATCTCATTCCCCCAAGCTTTACTGAATCCTCCCCTTCTCCCCTCTCTCTATCCATCTCCCCTTACATCCAACACCCACTCCACCCCGTGCACCCAAGTTTTGCCTGGCAATCTTGTCTACTTCCAATATCCAGGAGGATAACTATATGATTTTCTTATTTAGCTTCTCTAGGATCACGAATTATAGGCTCAATGTCCTTTAATTATGGCTAGAATCCACTTTTGAGTGTGTACATACCATATTTCTCTTTTTGAGTATGGGTTACCTGACTCAGTAAAGCGTTTTCTATTTCTATCCATTTGCATGTAAAATTCAATATGTCATTGTTTTTTACCGCTGAGTAAAACTCTAATGTGTATATGTTCCACACCTTCTTTAACCATTCTTCTATTGAGGTGCACCTAGGTTGTTTCCAGGTTCTGGCTATTACAAATAGTGCTACTATGAACATAGTTGAACAAATGCTTTTGTAGTATGATAGGACATCTCTTGAGTATATTCCCAAGAGTGTAATTGCTGGGTCCTGAGGGAGGTTGACTCCCAGTTTCCTGAGAAATCGCCACACTGATTTCCAAAGTGACTGTACAAGTTTGTATTCCCACCAACAATGGGTGAGTGTTCCCCTACCTCCACATCCTCTCCAGCATAGGCTCTCATTGGTGTTTTTGATTTTAGCTATTCTGACAGGAGTAAGATGGTATCTCAAAGTTGTTTTGATTTGCATTTCCCGGATTGCTAAGGAGGTTGACCATGATCTTAAGTGTCTTTTAGCCATTCGAAGTTCTTCTGTTGAGAATTCTCTGTTCAGGTCAGTACCCCATATTTAATTGGGTTAATTAGAGTTTTAGTGTCTAGTTTCTTGAGTTCTTTGTATATTTTGGAGATCAGACCTTTGTCTGATGAGGGATTGGTGAAGATCTTCTCCCAGTCAGAAGGTAGCCTTTTTGTCTTACTGACAGTGTCCTTTGCTTTACAGAAGCTTCTCAGTTTCAGGAGGTCCCATTTATTCATCGATTCTCTTATTGTCTACGCTACTGGGGTTCTACTTAGGAAGTGGTCTCCTGTGCCTATATGGATGTGTTTTCATTCTTCTACAGGTTGAGATCCAGTTGTGCCAGCACCACTTGTTAAAGATGCTTTCTTTCTTCCATTGTATAGTTTTAGCTTTCTTGTCGAAATCAGGTGTTCATAGGTTTGTGGGTTAATATCCCGGTCTTGTATTCGATTCCATAGATCGACTTCTTTGTTTTTATGCCAATACCAAGCTGTTTTCAATACTGTAACTCTGTAATAGAATTTGAAGTCAGGGATGATAATGCCTCCAGAAGTTCCTTTATTGTATAAGATTGTTTTGGCTATCCGGGGTTTTTTGTTTTTCCATGTAAAGTTGATTATTGTTCTCTCAAGGTCCGTGAAGAATTTTGATGGGATTTTGATGCGGATTGCATTGAATCTATAGATTGCTTTTGGTAGAATTGCCATTTTTACTATGTTGATCCTCCCAATCCAAGAGCAAGGGAGATCCTACCATTTTCCGGTATCCTTTTCAATTTCTTTCTTCAAAGACTTAAAGTTCTTGTCAAATAGGTCTTTCACTCCTTGGTTAGAGTTACCCCAAAATATTTTATGCC